CAAGTGAGAACTCGTGCAACCGCTCCTTCTCTTCGCCTTAAGCACGCACAACTGCAATTCAGCACGGGTTCTTCACAGGGCATTTTGCATGATTTCTTTCTGATTTTTCTTCACTAATGGGTTACTTGCTACCTTGCTATTACTATCTGAGCCGCATACTCATCAAATTTGAACGCGGGCTCTGCCTCTAATACATTGCAGAACATGCAAAATGATATATTGCAGGATACTAAAGCAAGCTTGTCTGATCTATCTAGCTGTGAATAATGCTCATGCTAAACTAACTTTCATTGCAGAAGTAAAGTCAAAACACCAACGAATGCGGTGTATGAGAAAGGAATGGCCCAGGCTTTCAATTTAGCCAGCTCCCTTTTAGCTGTGGGTTTCTTTAAAAAATTGATGTATTATGCCATGGGCCTTGTGCAGTTGCGATCAGCAAGCCTGGCAACTTGGCAGCCAGCTGGACAACCGAATACTCAAAAGGGCTTTGTTGCCATCCCTATTAACTCATCTGTGCACGCTTTTGAACACTATTTGCACCTTTATGCAACTTCTTGATCTTGATGGTAATCCTACAAGAACTCAGCGATTGTCAAGGAAGGAGTCGCAACTTAGATTAGCGTAAGATAAATTGTACTTATCGTCGTATGTAATAAATAACACTTTACCTAGCCCCAGTGTCCATGCGCCAAGGTAGGTGGTAGGCAGTTGTTGTACTTTTGTATTCTATCGCCGTTCGATCCGGCCAAATTTGTCGCTTATTCCATTTATGTGAATACCCGCATACCGTTGAACTGCTGAGGAGCCGTCGATGGAGCTACCCAAAGTTGCCCAGGTTACTCAACAATAAGACTCTTGATAATCTCCACGTTCTCCCTTGTTGTAACCTCGGCATGGTGTCGAATATTAAGTTGCTTCTGCCAAACGAGGTTGTTAGGTGAACCTTTTATTGGCCTAACGTTTCGACCTTCTCGTCTTCTTCAGAGGCCGAAGGTGCCACCGTGCGGAGCCCAGCTCTCGCCGTCTTTTAGTTGGGTTAGGAAGGTTGCAGGTCGCCTTACTAACCCAACTAACAGACCGCGAGA